TGAAATCCTTGCTCTGGTTATTAAGCCTGAAAGCAACTGTCCTCTCAAGTCTTTTCAAGCCTTCTCCAGTCAGTCTTCCCCTGTCAGCAGTAACACTCGAGGACCCTATTTGGAAAACAATTCTTCTGCATTTCTTTTTTCACACCAGAAAACTGGCCACCACTCAACACCGAGCTCCTGTTCTCCCTCCATGAAATGCGAATTTAAAGATTTTCATCTCCCTTCTCCAAGCTCAGAGGATGGACATGCCTTGGCTAAAAGGCTTAGTTCCCTCTAGCAGGCATGGTTTCCCTGCAACGTCCTTGTCGCTGCCGTTTCTCATAACTCGACCCGCAGACATTCCTCCGCCCGCTCCCTGCCCTGCTTGGCGATCACCGATTCTTCTGACCTAAACCCTCTATGGAATTTGCCAGGAGAGACTGAACCAGAGACGTAAATGATACACCTCAATATACAACAGCTCAGGCTGGATTTGTAGGCAGAATTTCATTTGGTGGCCATGGGAAGGAAAAATATATACACAGAGTGTGTCTGGGAGGAGGCGGGACAGGGAGGGGCCATCTTGGTGGCAGGAGGAGCTGGTGGGGACTGGAGCGGTTTGTTTACTTGGATTTGCCAACTGGTCCGATGGACACGGGGTCTGTTTGCACTTGGGCGTCCGACATCCGCTTTGGTCCCTGGAGAAAAACATAAAGAAGCTGTAGGGTCCTGCCGCTCGGTAACATCCACCACGACAGCGCTGGCCGTAGCCCGTGCTCGGCGTGGCGCTCAGCGCTCGGCGTGGCGCTCAGCGCACACCCCCTGGTGAGGGGTGGACGAGGAGGGTCTCTGATCAGGTGCTCAAGCTCAACACTCGGTTAGGTTCCTTTTTAGCGTTGTGACATCTCCAACCAACTACTTAACTCTCTGTGTTTCAGTTTCTTCTCTTTAAAGTGGGAGTGATAGACGAGTCAGGTGGTGTGGTGCTGGGGTCCCCTGTTAAACTCTTCAGGGTGCCCTCTGGCTACAGGGGACAGTTACCTGGTCCTGCCATCCTGTGTTCACAGTTCCAGCCCCTGAGCTTCAGTCCTGTCCTTCTCTCTGTCCTATGGGTGCACCTCTGCTCTGGACCTCCCGGGCCTTCCTCTCCAGGCCAAGCCAAGGTCTCACCTTATATGTCACCTATTCTCAGAAGTCTTCCTGGATACTCCTCCCAAACCCAAGGCCTTTCCCTTGACCTCAACTCGACCTGTACGTAGCACCCCGCACCCATCAATCCTGTACCTGACCGTGGGCTCCAGAATAGCAACATCCCTGTCAGTCTTCCTCCCTGCACCGAGCCTGGTGCCTGTCACATGGTCACTGCTCAATACATATTTGCCAAATGTCCAGCCAGCTCTTAGCAATCCATCCCAACTGGAGGTGCGAACCATACCCTCGGCCCAGAAAGAGGGGGTTGAAATCCACCTACCAGGCCCTTAAAGAAGCCCCCAAGGGACTGCTGTCGCTTCTCAGGTCTCTTCTGGGACTTGTCCCCGTTCTGCAGTGAGTTCCCGTCCCCCGGGGCCTGTTCCACACACTGGGCTGGCTCTTTGGCTTCCTGCTTGTTGCTCTTCTGCTTGTTCATCTCCGCCGGCTTCTTGTCCTTGGACGAGCCCTCTTTGCCTTTCTGGGCTGCTCCGGTGGGTTGGACGAGCCCTCTTTGCCTTTCTGGGCTGCTGGGGCAGGCTCTGGCTCTGGTGGCGTGATGGGCTTCTCTGTGGCATCTGACGTCTATAGCAATTTCAAACAAAGCACTTGTTAGTGGCTGTAAGACAATCCCCAATAGCAGAGGAGTGAGTGTGTTAAGACAGAGATGTTCAAGTGTAGGATGGCAACTCTGTTTCATGGGTCCCGAGTGAAATGAAAAAGACAAACAAGAAAAATATGCAGAGGCTTATCACGGAGCAAGGTTGGGTAGGGAAGCTTTGTTTATGTAATAATCATTAACCTATGCCTTCCTTGCAAGCTTCCTTCCCCCTTCTCCCCATGCCAGAACTTGCATTTTCCTGGAGAAACCACTCTGCTCTCCAGTCAACTCCATGTCATCTAGGCCAACTAATCCCACCCTTGGACGGGCATGTGACCCAGCCCTGGCCAATCAGACATCACATACGATTGAGTTGCTGTGATTGGTTCAGGATGGCCAAATACTGATAAAAAGTGGGCTAATCTCACAGCTTTGTGAGAATAATCAGGAGAGATGCCTGCTCTTGTGCCACTGGATTTGAAGAATAGATTTGAAGATGTAAGACCCAGACTTCCTGAACCAACACCATTTCCACGGAAAACATGCCTGCACAGAGGAAAGAGAGGGACGAAGAGTTGAGGGGCTGGTGTATGTCTGCAGATCCCACTGTTCCTGAAGCCCTCTATGCTTATGTCAGTTGAAAGAGGGTTTCTCCCACTTGCAACCTGCAACCCACGTGACTTAATGGAGGGACGCCATTCTTTACTCCACGATCACGTCTGCCTTCATTTTGGGGTGAAACTGTCCTTTTGCTTCAGGAAATTTTGCTACAGGAGGACGATTCTTTTATTTTTAGTTTTGAATATACATTCTTCTATGCCCAAACAGAAAGTCTGCAATCCTACTTGTTTCCTACAATCTGGAGAGATGGGGCTATAAAATCCAACATTCTAGAAACTTCCAGATAAATTAAGGATAACAAACAAACAAAAAAAGGAAGTCTTTTCTCATAATTTATTTGAACTGAAATGTCTGTGGGGGCCAGACAGATGCTATTAAAAAAGAAAAAGAAAAGAAAAAGAAAAATCACATGGAGATCTTGTTTCTCCCACTAAGAAAGCAATGTGTGCCTAGAGAAATATTTCTCCATTGTGAGAAAAATACAGCTCAAGCTATGTGGCTTCGATTTGGGGAGGCAATGTGGAGGGGAGGGGAGGGTGGTAAACCAGAAGTCACCTGCCCTGTCCACAGGGCAACAGCTGGTCAGCAACAGCCGAGAGGTACCGTGTGGGCTCGAGCCCCAGTGCTATCAGATCTGCTTCCCATGGACCCTTGAAACTGAGCTTTTCAAAAATGCAAAATATGTCAAGTTTAAAATGTTGACCCCCTCACCCTCCAAGGCCGAATGCCCTGATCCTGAGCACCCCTGCGGGCCACAGTTGACCCCTCAGACACAGGGACATAATTCCCATCCATGACTATGCGCTGCCCCCGGGTAGGAAGTTCTCGACCGAGCTGCAGTTGATGGACGAGGCAGCCATGAAGGAGCGCTGTGTCTCACATCAGCGAATGAGCACACCTCATAGAAATAAGCGAGATGACACGGACGATGCTCCCGAGAGCCCAAGGTCTGTGAAGGCTCCTGTGCTCCAGAGGCAGAGGTCCTGGAAGACTGTCAGCCCTGCAGTGGCCCCTGAGGCTGGGCTGCTGGTTATTCAGGCCTGACCGCTCTGCATGAGCCCTGCGTCCAGACGGGAGTAAGTGCAGAATGGGAGCAGAGTGGGACGTCTGAGTGCAGGGAGCCCAGGCCTTCGGAAGAGAGTGAAGCCCCCCAGCCATGCTCTCCAGCTAGGCCCAAATCAAATGCCCTCTTATTATTTGAGTTGTGTAGAAGATTTTTTTTTAAAGAGAGATTTTTGCTATAGGGTATGTATGCTTGACAGAGAGACAGAAAGTGAGACATCACTCTGCAGGGGGCAAGGTCACACCACAATCCCTTCTCCATCCTCCTCCCAGGATCTCGCGCGCACACACACATGTGGCCGGGGTGATTTTGAAGCCACTGTGCTCAGGACCTGAACCATGGTCAGCCATGTGGGAGTCCAGAGACATAACCATGACACCATCTGCTGGTCGCTGTGTAAAAGACTTTTAAGATGCAGTGAGGGGAGAAGAGCTCAGTGTCTGCAGTCCCAAGGGCCTGGTTAGAGTCTAACTCCATCGCGTCCTTGCTGTGCGTCCTGGGACGATCGCTCTCAGCTTCCTCATCTGTGTGAGATAACAGAGGCAATGCTGCCTTGCAGTGGGGACCGAACTAGCTAAGAATGCGAAGGCTGTTTCTGGCCCGTGTGAAATGGCGAACGTAGGGTGACCGATTGTTTTGGTTTGTTGAGAACAGCCCAAAAAAGTCCCAGGCAAACTGGGACGAGTTGGTCACCCGGGGTCACCACAGCCAGTGGCTCCTCTTTGTAAGAAAACCTGCAGATCTGAGAGCCCAGTGGCAGACAAGGGGCCCAGGGGACACCTGCTGGGTGTTCTGATCAAGGTCCCATTTCCCTCAGACTGTCTCCTCTCCTTCTTCTGCTCGTTCCGCTCCAGCCGCATGTGGTGTCCTTCCATTCCTTGAAGTTTATTGTTGGCAAGGGCCTCGCGTGTGTTGTAACCTCACGTGTGTTGCAGGGCTCGCGCAGGGCTTCAGAGACTGCTGTGTCTTGGCTCAAATGTCTCAGCTCAAATGTTGCCTGCTTGGAGGAGCCACCCTCGGTTCCGGGTCTAAAGTAGCCTGCCCCTTTGTGGACTGCTGCTTTTTTTGAGATGTTTTTGGTATAAGGTGCGTACGCTCTCAACAGAAAGAGAGAAGCAGAAAGTGAGAAATCACCCCCCAGGGAGGTTGGCCACACCGCAATCCCTTCTCCTCCATTCTCCTCTCGGGATTTTGGGCATGCATGCACATGCACCCGGCGTGAGCTTAAGCCACCAGGTACGGGACTCGAACCACAGACAACTACATGGGAGTTCAGCGACACAGCCATTACGCCAACTGCTGGTCCCTGTAGGTTGCTGCTTTAGTTTACTTTTATTTGCAGTCAGTGCAGGAGTTTCTTTGCTCACTTGAAAATGCTCTCCCTCCCTCCAATGTGGGTGAGCTGCGGAGAAGCAGTCGCCATCTCTTCCTGGGCTTTATCCTGTGACCTCGAGTGGGGCTGATATGCACTAGGTCCCGATCAAACTGTGTTGAATAAGTGGCCAGCTACTTGCGTTCCAAATGTCTCCAAAATATTTTCCTTCACAGATCACCGAGGGGCAGGAAGTGTGAAGGACCCACACGGCCATCATCAGACTTCATTTTTTCCAGCAGGGAAGCTTTCAATGAATCACAGCCATCTTGTGAGTGGTTACTACATCCTATGGGGCTTCACGTTTCTTTTTAATGGCTTCAAAACCAACTTCTGGAGACAACAGCTGACTCCCATATCTTCGGAGTAAGCTAAGACTCTAAAGTATGCCACGATGCTTTGTCCTTAAATGCTGACGTTTAACACCTTTGCCTGGGGTTTCACTCGGTCTCAAAATTTATAGCAAAAATGATTCGCATCTGAACGATCCGGGTGCACTCTCTCCTGAAAGCCAGTGACACTGACAAGCTGCTGCAGATTCAGACTCTGGAGACCAACCTAGTGTGGGCTTCTCTTCCAAGAAGCATCGCCTGGGCTCACAGAGCCCTGAGGGGCCAGGACTGAAAGGCACAGAGACTGTCTATTCCCACTCTTTACAGTTAAGCTGACCCCCTGTCATCAGCCAGTGAGGACACACCAGTCTTTAGACGTCTCGATCCAAGGCCTTGGGAAATGGAATGCTCCAGTGGATTTCAAAACACTTCGAGATGAGTCCAGATAAAATGAGGTTTCCTGCTCTTTCAGATTTTCAAGGACTTCATTCTGATTTTCGAATCACCAAGATCATTGTCACCCTGCCTTGCTGTAGGATTCCAGACAGAATATGCCATCATATTTAAGGTTTTCTTTTGAGTAAAGTTAAATTTATCATGTCTCCCAGGTGGTGAGTTTTCAAAATGTTGGTTTCAAATGGTGGAGGGAGTGGTTTTGGGAATATGGTGTAGTAATTGGTGAAAACAGAAAAAAAAAAATAATTGGTTTCAAATGGTGGAGGGAGTGGTTTTGGGGATATGGTGTAGTAATTTGTGAAAACAGAAAAAAATAATAAAGCAATACAAAGCAAGCTATTCCTTGTTGGTGCACATGGATAAATCAATTACTGTGGAGGAGAACTGTAAGTTATTTATAGTCACTGCTGTGCTCTGCGTGTGTGTGTGACATGAACGACGTTGTGGGGAAGGACGTGTCCTGTTGGTCTCACAGCAGTAGGAGATAGCAGCGACTGAGGGCTGAACTGTGTCCCCCAACCCCATCGGCACGCTGAAGCTCTCACCTCCCGTGCGATCCTATTTGGAGTGAGAAGTAATTAGGTCAAATGAAGTCTTACGGGTGGCACCCTGATGTGATGAGATTAGTTTAGTGCCCTCTAAGAACGGATGCCAGAGAGCTCTGTTCTCTGTCTCTTTGCCATGTGACACGCAGCAAGAGGGTGGCCTCCCACAAGCCAGGGAGCGAGCCCTCACTGGGAGCTGAACACGGCTGGCACCTCCCTCTTGGCTTTTCCAGCCACCCAAACAAGAGAAATAAGTCTCTGGTTTCGGTTTTCCAGCTTACTGCCTTTTGTCCGGCAGCCCACGTCAGCAACAGCAGCTAACCTTGACGGGGCTCTCTGGGCCAGGAAGGTTCCAGGGTTCCCGCACTGAGTCATCTGTGTACAACCCCTGAGGCAGCACTGTTCTCTGCTCCTTCATTCAGACGAGGAAGCCGAGGTACTGAGAGATTTGGTATCTACAGTCACACAGCGAACACGCGGCTGAGCCAGGATTCGAACCCAGACGGCTTGAGTGTGCGACTCATGCTCTCAACCCCTCCGCTATATTGCTGAAACTAGCAGCAAGCTGTTTGATGACACTTGTGTGGAGGAGAATTTTAAGTTAAGAAGATGCAGGTTATGAAATAAGGAGTTGTGTATAATCCCATTAAAAACACATAGTTATAAAAATGGGATAGTGATGATGATGAGTATCATTTTTAGAATAGAGGAAACATGGACGTGAACTATATGACCCCATGACTTTCACTGATTCAAGAAATAGTTCCTACTTTGTAGCAGGCCCCGTGTGATGTGACAGAAACACAGAAGCGGCCCTTGCTCCAGCCGTGCCGAGGCAGGGGAGGGCAGGGGTAGGGGAGGAGAATGAGCGATGACCATCTGTGCGAAGAGCCACGAAGCAGAAGAACAAGGAGTAGTGTGACCAGTGACAGGTGGACGTGGACGCTCTCCGAGACATTTATGGTAATACGTAAAGGAGAATGAAGCTTCCAAGTGGAAAAGAGGGGCCAGCACGGGTTAGGGCCTCCGGTCGGAAACGGCTGAGAGCCCAACGTGCTCGAGTGTGGAGCCAGTGCAGCGCCTGGTACCCGACGAGGGGCAGAGTTTAGAGATGTCAGTGAGATGACCGTGCCGAGAGTGGCATGAAGACAAGGCCGGAGAGGGGACACCGCGGCAGCTAGCCCCACCACCAGACAGGGTCGCGGCACTTACTTGGTAGCTGGAGTCTTTCCCATTTATTTCTTCGGAGTGGGTGACTCCTCCGTCCCCTTTCACTGACTAAAATAACAAACAGACAATGGCCTTTCAGCCACCACGGCACAAAGGCAGAGAGAACCGAGGAAGTTCTGACATGGATGATCTCAGGCGCTCATCACTGGGACTGGGGTGGGAAGGCATGACTCGCGCGGTCGGCAGATCCCTAGGCCATCTGTAACTGGAGTCTGAATGCATTCAAGGGTCGGCCTCCCAAAATAATGGCAGTCAAAGTCCTCAACCCTGGCCTTGCAGTTCTGGGATAAATACAAGGGGGCTTGAAACATTCATGGAAAAAATGGAATTAAGATACGAGTTTATTTTCCTAAAAAATTGAAATCCACGTGCAGCTTTTTCATAATGCGCATTTTCCACGAACTGTTCGAAGACCCCTTGTAAACGATGATGAAAACACTAACATGGGAACCAGGAAGCTGTGGGGTTTATTGAACGACCGAATAACAAAATGAACCCTGGGGCCATCCGTAGCTTTCCAATGCTGGCGTTTCGGTGGTGGGTGTTCTGTTCTATTTTTGCCCTTGTGGAGATGCAAGTTTCTCGAGCATTCCCTTTTCCATCCTTCCATCCTGTTTTAACCACAGCATCCCCTATAGCCAGGCGCATCAGGGATGGCGGAGGTAGAAGTCACAGTTTCAGCTCCTTAAAATTCCCTGCTCTAAGCTAATAGTTCTGAAATCTGATTCCAGGACCAGCACCCTCAGCGTCACATAGGAAATTGACTCTCCATCTACCGAATCAGCATCCACAGGGGCTGGGCTCAACCATCTGTCTTTAACAAGCCTTCCCTGTTTGAGTTTGAGCATCACTGCAATAGGCTAACTGGCTATAGACAAATTCACTGGGACCAGCAGTTGGTGTAATGGCTATATTGCTAGACTTCCATGTAGTCGACAGCAGTTCGAGTCCCAGACCCAGTGGCTTAAACTCACACCGGGCGCGTGTGCGTGCATGCCCAAGATCCCGAGAGGAGAATGGAGGAGAAGGGACTGTAGCATGGCCATCCTCCCTGGGGGGTGATTTCTGACTTTCTGTCTCTCTTTGTCTTTCTGGTGAGCGCACATGCCCTATAGCAAAAAAAAAACAAAAAACCTCTCTAAAAAAAGTTTGGACAATACTGGGGTCTGTGGTTTTAACTGTGCATTTATTAATGCCATATACTTGATGCATGATAAAAATCCAAGAAATATGGAAATGAATTACTCAGTCATTATCAACAAGATTGACTCTCTGTATATTTGATCATTGCTTAATGTCTCCGTTCCCACCTGTGAAGGGAGTGTGGAGAGGAGGGGTGAAGCACCATGTGTGAGAGTCGGTGGTCAGGGGCCTGAGCGCCTGGAATCTGATTACACATGATTAGCTTGGCTGTTCTCTTAGCAGGCAGTGAGAATCCACAACACACAAACTAAGAACAGCTAAAACACTGAAGGCACACGAACACTTCTTGACTGATTAAGATTAAGTTAATATTATGTGTCTCTGTTACTTCACATATGGTGCTAATTTTATTAGAGATAATAAAAGTTATTTAGGGAGCCATCAGGAGAAGAATGGAGGAGAAGGGATTGTGGCATGGCCATCCTCCGGGGTGGGGGTTGGGGGATGATTTCTCACTTGCTTTTTCTCTTTCTTTCTCTGGCCAGTGCATGCATCCTTAAAAAATATTTATGAATGTGAAATGGGAGAAAATTTTTGTTAACTATGCCTCAGATAAGGGACTGATAACCAGAATACACAGAGAACTCAAGCAACTTACCCGGAAGAAAATGAAGAACCCAATTAAAAGATGAAAAAATGAGTTGAATAAACGACTCTCTACGGAAGACATATGAGGAGCCAAAAAGTATATGAAAAAATGCTTAATATCCCTCACCATAAGGGAGATGCAGATCAAAACTACAATGAGATATCACCTAACCCAGTCAGAATGGTGAAGATTAAAAGAACGAAAAATGGTAAGTGTTGGCAGGGATGTGGTGAAAGGGGAACTCTCCTACATTGTTTGTTGGTAGAATGTAAACTGGTCCAGCCACTATGGAGAATAATATGGAGGTTCCTCAAAGACCTTCAAATAGAACCACCATATGATCCAGCAACTCCACTCCTGGGGTATCTACCCAAAGGACAGGAGAACACTCAGTCGGAAAAGCACTTGCACAACTATATTTATTGCAGCATTATTCATGATTGCTAGAATGAAACCAACCCAAATGTCCACAAAAGGATGAATGGATTGAAAAAGCATGGCACATATACTCCATGGAATACTGTTCAGCCATAAAAAAACAAGACCCGGCATTTGATAGAAAGGGGATGAACATGGAAGATTTATTGCTGAGTGAAGTAAGTGAGGCTATGAAAGAGAGACACTGTATGTCTCCACTTAACATATACTGATTGTCCACACTCTATGGTAGAGACTGAAAGACTGGAGGGCATAAAACCATTGAAAATTGCTGTGGACACTGGGGACAAAGTGGAAAGAGAGTGAGAGAGGGGAAGAGTGCAGGAAGGGAAATTTGGGAAAAAATGGAGGAGACATTTATTGGACACAGATATGGTTTGTTGCCTGTTGATGTCATGGAATCATGCGTGCCCCATCCAGAGAACAAGTTCTCTTTTGCCTGGTTGAGAGATGGATTTTTAAAAATTTTTATTTTTCATTTTAATTAATTAATTTATTTTTTGTAGAAGTTTTTGCTATAGAGCGTCGCCAGAAAGACAGAGAAAAACAGAGAGACAGAAAGCGAGAAATCACAGCTCCCCCCCACCCCACAAACCCCCGGCAGGATGGCCACGCCACAATCCCTTCTCTTCCATTCTCCTCTCGGGATTAGGCACACATGCACACACACCCGGTGTGAATTTAAGCCACCGAGTCTGAGACTAACCACAGTTAACTACATGGGAGTCTAGCAACATAGCCATTACACCAATTGCTGGTCCCAGAGAGGGGGATTTTTTAACTTTCTGTTAGTTGTTGTAATTTGGTATCCATTAGGTCCTCTGCAGTTTAAGGTTTCGATCTGCTTTTTTCCCTCACCCTATCGTTGGTGGCCCTTGGAGGAGAATTTGGATTAAGTCAGAAACTGTGCCTGAAGTTGCAGATCTCAGGGCACCTCAGTGACCATCGAGAAAACAGACCTTCGGGCTGCCAGGGAGATCGCTGCAAAGACACTGAATGTCTTAAAGAAAAGGTGTGGTGGTGGAGGAATATCTCGAGCTTTTTAATGACTTCCTGTGTTTGTCTTGAGACACAGGAAGCTGTCCCTACACACGGGCGACCTCACACAGGGTCTGGACTAAGGACCTTTTCAAGTCCACCT